ATTCCTTTAAAATCATGGAACTATAAAATAATCAACAAAAGGTTGTAAAACCACTGGGTCCAATTCTCGTGGAGAATGTTCTGGGGTTGGCCCAGGCTCACCTGAAATCATTGATAGATTTCAGCATCATTAACATACTTTTATTAACCAATGTCACCCCAATAAATTCAATAAAGACTCTTTAAAAACATTGTAAAGGAGTAAAATACATAAATCAAACATGACTCATTACAAAACAAATGTGGGGACAAATGAAATGATGCCCTCCTGATGCGATATAAATGGAAGTTCACTGAACCATCTAGCGAGTATTCTCACCAAATAATGATAAGTAACAGTAAATGAACTCAATTCCAGCTTTACATTCTAGTCTACAGGAAATAGGAGTGACTGAGGAACAAATTAAATGACAGGATAGAGAAGCAAGTAGCTAAATTCTGAATCTCAGACCTGCTCTAGGACGATGACCTGAAATTTTCAACAAATAAAGACATGGCGGGGGGGGGGGGGGGGGGGGGGGGGGGTCAGGGCAGGGAGAAACCATCAGCAAATTATCATAGATTAAAAGAACCTTAAAAAACATAAGATAGAAACAAAATGTGTATATCTCATTTAGAAGCTCACTTGAGCAATCCATCTATAAAAATAAATAGATGTGCCAACTGTGAAAAACTAAGCATAAAGTGGGTATTGTTATATAATGAAATTATTGTCAATTTTGATAAATTTGGAAATAGAGTTATATTTAAAACAAATTCTTGCCTATTACAGATACATACTAGAATTTACAGATAAAATAATAAGATGTCTGATATTTGTTTTAAAATACTTAAGGGATTTCTTTTAAAATGCATGTTGATGGTAGTAATAAATTAAACAAGATGGGTAAGATGTTGACTGATGCGTACATGGGTAGATGCATAAAAAATACTGATACGCACACACACACACACACACACACATATGGATAATTGCAATGTTTTCTCTGAATTTTAAAAACTATCAAAATATAGGAAGAAAAAGAACAACCAAACTTGCTCTTGTATTTCTGACCCAGGATCACAAAACCTGGTTGACAGGCCGGGCCATGCTGCTTAAATCTGATTGGCTGACCTAACTCAATTCATTTACCTCTGTGAACATGAATGTCTATATCTGTTAATGGGGAAATAACAGCCTTACCTAATTCAAAACATTATATATGTGAAATGAATTATAAACTTTTTAAAAATCTAAAAATATAGGCATCATTATTAAAATGCTTTGTCTTCACCTTCATGTCCCACGTGTGTATATTATCTCTTCAGTTAAGTCATTGGTCTCTAGGAGCAAATTCCATGTCTAATTCCTTCAACCAACAACCATTCAACATATATTTCTAGTGGGTCTAGTGTCTGGCAAGTATTTCACTCAATGGTAAGAACATAAAAGCAGTAAGTCACAGGCCATGTTCTCAAATCCAGGGAGGGAGAGAAATGCAAAATTGTGATTCATGTGCCAAGACAGTTACAAAGATATGAATTTGGTATATTACAAGAACAAAGAGGCAGGACAACAGCATGGCCAGGCCTGAGGTGAGGAGAAGCTTCCTAGAGGAGATAATGTGTGCACTAAATCGAAATACGTAAAAAAGTTTGCAAAACTCATAAAGGGAGAAAAAATATTCCAAGCAGATAGGCAGAAAGAATAAAGGATGTTAGGTTGGAACGGCAAAAGGGGACTGTGGCTAATGTTCTGTGTTACAGGCATTAGGTCTCAACCAATGACCCATGTAGACTCAGAAAAATGCTCAGCACTTAATAAGAGATCAATAAATATCTATTAATTTAAATACAGAGATATTTTGATAGTACACATAGATAAATGTATTTCTTATCAACCTCACATCAATCTTGAGGTAGATAATATTATTATCTCTACTTTACAGATAAGGGCAATGGAGAACAGAAGGGCGAAGTAACTTGCTGAGTCAGTTGGCAAGTGGTATACTGAGTGATGTCTGAGTGTTTCAAACAGTTTGGAAAGAAAATATATGAAAATAAAATGCTACATGGCTAGTCCACATGATCAAATGATTTAGAGAGAGATGACACTGCTAAGTGTTTTATAAGGGCTCTCTGAGGAAGAGGAGGACCCGGAGTTCTCGCATTTGCCAGTTTCCATAGTGTAGAAGTGTAACTGTTTCTACCGTGGCCAATTTCAAGCTGCCAGCAGGAAGTCACTGAACATGGAGCTGGGAAGAGATCCTATGTGAGCCAGCTCCAGCATATCACTGCCCACAGCCTTCAACAAGTTATAAGTAGAGAGTGAAAGTAACAGGTTAATTGTATGACCAGAGGATAACAAGAAAATCAAAGAAAAGGGGCAACTGCTAACTCTATTGTTTATAGGGTTCTGTATGCAACTAGCAGTTCATTTATATTTGAAATTAATGAATTCCTAAGGAGTATAATGTAATATATGACAGGCAATGAGAATAAAGAGGTAATTCATAGAGATTCCTCAAGGAAACATACATTTTCTATGAATGACAGGGTTGACATTTTAAAAAAGTAGTCTTTCAATGTTATTAATGAACTGTGATTACTAAGTGATTTCCTGCTAAATTATTCCTCCCTGAGGGAGCACACAAAGGGATTTATTTCCATCTAGAGAAGTTGAAGGAAACTATTTGATTGGGGTCAACAATAGACATTACAACGAAAAAGGGGAGGGGAGGTATTTTTGCATATCTTGCTTTGTACAAATTACCTGTCTGATAAAAAGTGTTGAATGATATTTATCAGAAGGCTAGAGCAAGAAAGCCAATCATAGAACTAGATACATGCATCTTATTTGTATGTTAAGAATATACATATATGTGTGTGAATTCAAATTACTAATATTATTATATTTATATTATTGCTTTAAAAACATTCCTTTAGGTTCCTCATTTAACAATAGTGTTGAATGAATCATTGTGGTTAAATTTTATATGTGTATAAAAGAGAGTTTGAATTATTAATATTAATATATTGTTCCTATCACCTTACAAAGTCTCTTTATCGTTTAACAATAATGTCCAATGAATAAATATATCTAGATGAATTTTAAATAAAATATAAAATCAATTATTCATATAGAATGCAAACATAATAGTCAAAGAAAAGAAACTTACAATTAGCAAAGCAAAAAAGATCAATTCTACACAAATTTTTTTGGAGGTCTAGCAACCTAAAACTAGTGTGTCCCCAGTTTTGGCATGTAACAACTCTCCTGGTGACCTGTGTTTGAATCTGGCTCTCATAGAACTGCTGCCTACCTCGCAGTTAAGAGAATCCTGGCTTGAATGGACTCGATTGAGCACATGTAAGTCATTAGCTCTGTTTAAGCTAGTTAATGCATATGCAAAATATACTTTGAGCCTCGTGAGAGTCCATCCATATATGCTGCTTTCTGATGTTCTTATCTTAATAGTAGGTGCCAGGCATCTTTGATTGGGTCCATTTAACCATTGATTTTTACTCATAATGTTTATAAATGGCAGGGGTACCACTTTTTCAGTCCACTGCCTTAGGAGAGAAAAATTCAGAGAAATATGTGATTAAGATTTTTAAATCAATCACCAACACTGTTGCCTAGTACATAAAATAACTCAGGCAACCAGTTTTGTTATTTAATTAAATTGGCATTTTTTCAGCCAAGTTATCAGACTGAGATTATAATATCAGTATATATTTTTATTTTTGTGATACCCCAATTAGCTGAGAAGCAGAAACTCAAGTCAAATGATTTTAGTGTTCTGTATACAATGCATCTTTTCATTTTCTTGAATGAAAGAGGTCTTTCAAAGACTTGACTGTGTCAATTTTTAATGAAATGTATGGTTTAATTTAACTGTAATGACTATAATCAGTTTAACAGTTTTGTTTTTTTTTAATCTTGAGTGTGGGAGCAAGGAAGGTTATGACATGGATCAGGAGCTACTACTATTTCAGTTGGCATTCCACAATTCGTTCCATTTTAAATTCAATAGGAATACATTAGTATTTATTGGAAGCTTACCATGTGTCAGGCCTATGGGTAGACATTGGAGAGTCATGGATGATGAGGGCACAGTCTCTGCTTTTAAAAAACTTCCAGACAGGAGACATGAAGGTAAAAACCTAACAATGGTCTACACTAGGAACAGGCAGAGTTCTAATGCGTCTCTCTTGCAGCAGTAAAACAACATAGTAAGTAATGTATGTGTTTTCATATGCCTATGCTAAGGTAATATTACCTGCCTTATTAGAATCATATCTAAAACAGCCATATGAGTTACATTTTAGATTAGGCATTAAGAGATAGGGTGATAACTGATATGTCCAGATGAAAACAACCACCAAATATATATATAAAACACAACCTCTTCCCATTAATTTAAACATAGATCTGACTACCCGGTCTTTTAAAATGAATACATCACTATGTCCTATACAAATAGGAAGCAAGACATAAAATGCAGTTACTCACAATAAAACTTAAACTGTTAATGACAAAGAAGAGCAGCCCAGACTTAGTCTGATGTCTCCTAAGCATTTTAATTACTTGCCAACTTGCAAGTTTAGAAAATGAGATGATCCTCATTATTATCAACAAATAAAATAAACAGAGTACGGGGGTCTTCTCTACACTCATCTCTTCTGAGCATGTAGGAAGGACAGGCTCACTGTTCAAAGCAGCCAGCCAAGGGGAGATACTCTATAGAGTCTGTATATATCCAGGCCATCCTTTCTCTGAAAACACACTCTGTTTGGAAAACCGCATGCCAAATATAAACTAACAGATCAGCAGAACGTATTCTCTAGGTAGATGACATTTACCAATTGTGAGGCTCCTTGAAGAGGGCCAATGAGTCTCAAGGAGTAACGTCTTCATGTTCAAGTGGTGATCGTTGTGT